GTCTGAGGAACCTCCAAACAGTTTTCCATAGTGGTTGTACTAGTTTGCATTCCCACCAGCAGTGCAGGAGAGTTCCTCTTTCTCCACATCCTCGCCAACATTTGTTGTTGCTAGTTGTTTTAGGATGTGCCATTCTCACTGGGGTGAGGTGGTATCTCATTGTGGTTTTAATTTGCATCTCCCTATTACAAGTGATGTTGAACATTTTTTCATATGCCTGTTGGCCGTCTGCATTTCCTCTTTAGAGAAGTGTCTTTAGCACTTGTGCCCATTTTCTGATGGGGTTGTTTATTTTTGTTGAGTTTCATGAGTTCTTTGTATATCTTTGTGATCAATTCTTTATCACTAGTATTGTGTGAGAATACTTTTTCACAATCAGTGGGATGTTCATACCACTACTTTTAATGACTATAGGATATATCTCGCCATAATTTACTTAGTTCATCTGCTGCTTGTTAAGTAAAACATGTAGACTGTTTCTAGTTTCTCATCATTACAAATCATGCTGCAATGAAACCGGTGAAATTAACTCTTCTTTGCATTTTGAATTGTTTCCTCAGAGCCTGGTTTGGATGTTACCTTTTCATTTTATTTTTGCCAGTATGTTTTTATGTTAACTATTCTAATTTTGGAGTTAAAAATTGGTGTTTCACTTTAAGAGTAATAAATCAAACTATTTATATTTAATATATACTTATTTATTGAATGTTTATTATAAGATATAAATAAGTCATTATATTACACATTTATTATATTACATTGTTTTATATTACTATTAATTCATATGTTAATGTTTAATATATAAATAGATTTTATAGTACTTCTTAAAAGCCTCCATGTAGATCACTAATGCCATTTAATTGAAGGTTTTCGTTGGCTGGAGTACAGATGTTCTAGTTTCATTTTATCAGTTTTATCTTTCTGTACTTAGACTTCTTATAAGAATTCTTCCCAGGACAGTTTACAAACATACCAATTAGAGGGCCCTCCCTGGTGGCACAGCAGGTTAAAGCACTGCACAAAGAAGCTTAAGCCACTTCCCATGAGTTCGATCCCCGCCTGCCCCAGAGGAGATCCACATGGCGAGGCAAACCTCTCCTGACCCGCCCGCTGCTCCCC